TCGACTACGTGGACACCTTGGACCCAAATATTGCCAACGCAGCTGGTCAAACGGAGCTGGATACGGACGGTGAAGGTGACGAGGACACGGCAGAAGCTGACTTTGATGCCGACAGCGAGAGTGACGCGAGTGACGCAGAAATATGCAAGTCTGACATGCTACAGCACGAGATTCGACGCGTTGCAGAGTTGATGAATAATGCAGAGCGAGATCGGTTACATCTTCGCATTCAAGGTAAGTCACGTTAATCGTTAGGTTGACATGAATATCATATAACACGTTTGTTATGTTGACAGAATCATCGGAGGTGTACACGGATGAGCAACTGGATCAAATGAAGATCGAGGGCTGGAATGTGTTGCCCGACAACGTCGAAGCCGAAAGCGTGGACGATTCAGACGTTGACACGATGTATGCAGGATACTGTGGGCCTTCGCAAGATATCATTGCCGCAGCAAAGTCACCGCTCAAGCGCTTCTACTACTTCTTGCCAAAATCTTTCTGGCGACAAGTAGCAACCCAAACTCACATCTACTGGAAGCAAACGCTAGAGTCAAGACTGCAGCAAGCTGAGGAAAAAGAAGCCACGATCACAAAGCGCCCACCACGTAGTAGAGCTGCGTTACTGAGGAAAATTCAGAAATTTCAAAAGGTTTCCCCACACGAAGTTGTACATTGGATTGGATTGATGCGTGCTCATGCCTTACGGCCATGTAAGCGCATGGATGAGCATTGGTACAAGGACGATATTGGGGTGCTGTTAGCTGGGACGTTTGGCCGTGTAATGTCACGTGACCGTTTTCGCGAAATCACAAGATTTCGTCACTTCACAGACAACAAGGACCCTGCCGGAGTCAAGGACCGAGCTTGGAAAATCCGATCGGTGCTATCGGTACTGGAGAAGACTTTCAAGGATGGATACGTGCTGGGATCTCGTGTGGCAGTTGATGAGGAAATTCGACCCTCTCACAACCGGCGAAACCCCACGAGAACCTTCATGAAGGATAAACCACACCGCTGGGGCTCGAAGTGCGTGATGACTTGCTGCGCGGAGACTGGTTACTGCAAGAGGTTGGTATGCGGACAAGAACAGCACAAGGAGAAAGTGATAAGCTGACACGTAAATCATTGTGCTCTGTGCTGTGCTCAGAGTCGAGTTAGACATTGGAAGAGTTAATGATGCAGAGGGATCTCAATCTATGGACACCAAGAATGGTTCCGCAGCGGTTATCCGCAATATCGCGTGCGTATTTCATGGGCTACCATATGAAGGGCGTCGTCTGGTCGTTGGAGACAGCTACTACACCTCTATAGCTTTGGCGCAGCAGCTACGAACTATGGGGTTCAACTACCTCGGGACAATGAACATCAAGCGAAAAGGCTGGTGTGATGCGTTGACCTATGCTAAGAAGAAACGGCAAGCACGGACACCAAGGGGGACGTTCCGGATGGCCGTAGCAAAGTCCAACCCCGGACTTATCAGTGTTATGTGGGCCGACAATACAATCGCATACTTCGTAGCTTCCCAAGTGACCGCGGAGTCGACGACGGTACGTCGGGAAGAACGGAGTGGCCCAAGTGATGTGTGGTGTAGCGGGATCAGCAAAATCTGCGAGATTGCTGGATCTAACTTACCAACTGCGCCCAGACACCGACTAACGGAGGGGGTCCCCCGATGATCCGTGTTCTGCTGAACTTTCCTCACCTTGTGTACCCGTCGGTAGGGCGGGATCTTGCTCTCTCGGTAACTTCCGAAGAGTTCAAGTGGTGAAGCTTGAGTGTCTTGGCGAGACGTGGGGATGGGGTGGAGCAGCAGTGGTAATATCTTCACTCTGCGTCCGTGGCTAAGCGAATATTCGAGCTTACGGATCCAGGGCCTAGATCGTGGATCTGGCCGTAGGGTTGCCTTGCGGGTGTGTCCCTTGCCTTTGCGTTTCCTTTACGTCGTACTTGCCGCCTCCTGTGACGGGATCCTGAGAGTTGAGACCTTCCAGGGTGTAACCGACCAAGTAGTAAATTCGGTTAGCCTGTCGGATCTGCACGTGTATAGGAAAAGCTCACTAGGTTGTAGGATCTGGTCAATGTATTATCCAGTTATCACTACCAACACTAGTTTCGCAATTCCCAACCTTCTCCGAGCTCGTACGGCCAATGTAGCTCCGATTCTTGAGGGAAGGAAGGCACTTGCGTGTTATTGTGCAAATTGAAGACTGTATTGATACTTAAGCCTATACCTGCCTGGATTCCTAACTTCTATGTCTTTCACCTGTTAAATTCCTTACCAGGCTCGGCTGCATGTCCTTTCTCTCCTTGACCCATCATCCCAGCTGTGGTGTTGGAAATCCCACGTGAACTCTAGCTACAAATGTAGTTAGGATGTTCCCACAACAATACGTCTACTAGGATAGTAAACGATCGTTCGGGCGGACCTGAAGACCCCAGATCTGCCCTTGCACCGGGACAAACTGGACCTTGTAAACTACTTATATAGGCCAACCAGTAAAAATAAGAACACGCTACTAGCACGAGCAAAGCTAGCAGGTGTTTTGAATCCTCGTGGTCCCAACAGCGGAAGGGTACCAGGCACGGGTAAGCCTTTTACGAGATCACCGAGTGTTCAACACTCGGTAGGAAGAATAAAAGGGATGCAATACAAGCAATCCCAGTCGTGCAAATAGGCAACAATAAGCCGTCACGTAAGAACTCCCGATAGTAATCGGCCAAAATACACAGTCTCTTGGCCTTGCCGGATGAACCCTCGCTACAGAGCTTCGAGTTCTCCGACAGGCATAACACACTCAAACAAGCTTGACCAGACGCTTACCTTGAAGCCGGACGTCGCTCTGTGTGCTTGAGTGGAAATTCTGTTCTGTATTTAAGCTTACCCTTCCGGTCTATTCCTAATAAGAAGTCCTAATCAAGTATACAAATATCAAGTGAACAATGATCCGTTATGGATCTTCTTGCATGCCAAGCGTCGTCTGCACCGTCGCATGAGCATCTATAACGGTCCGCGCCCTGTCCCAGACGGTGAACGTGCCTTCCAAGGGTCGCTGAGTCCTCCGCGAACTCATCCCAACCGCCACTGAGGGTTCGTACCGTAGATGGTCCGCTGAATGCGAATCCGGCCAGTCCATTATTAATAATAAGGACAGCCTGGATTCAGTGACATATGCCCGTATCCAATACTCGTTGAACGTTCGGAGGTGACGCCGTCGAGTCCCTTGCACCTTGGCGTCTCACCTGACCGAGGGTTTGTCGCTTGAACAACTTGGGCGGTGTCACGTCTTTGTCGACGGGTGATAATCCGCAACTACGGAGAAATCACTACGCCACAACTGCCCCTGTCGCAATGGAAGCCACGGTACTGGTGCCCGTTGTGACATTTCTTCATTCTTCAATTCACCATCTCGCCACCGTATGTCCAAGCGTCTGAATCCGACGCTTTTCAGCGTCTCAATCCACGTAGACGTCGCGAACGTGAACACCTGGAGGTACGTCAGCTCATCCTTCTCTTGAATCATCGGCACCTTGCTCATCAACTGGCATTACTCGACTTGTTCTCAGGAGGGCAAGGCCGAGGGTCGAA